CCGGGGTCGGTGGGGGGAACGATAGCTAGCCCAGCTTCCCCGGCCGGCGGCTCCCGGCACTCCCACCCCACCCCCCCTCCCCGCCTCACCGAATACCCTCTCGGGCGCGCGCTTCACCCTCGGCGCGCCGCCAGGCCCGGCGGGGGGCGCGCGGGGGGCTGGGAGGAGGGTGGGGTGGGGTTGTGCTGCGGCTGACGACCACTTCGGGGTCCGCCTGGCGATTTTAATTTCATTCCCGGCTTTGCTGCAGCAGCTCTCGTTTGGAAAAAGGAAAGAAAGAAATCTGCCCTGCGTGTGGGCCCCGCTGGGTTCGGGGGCGCAACGGGGGCATCCGAGAGCAAAACACAGGGGGCGGACGTGGAGGGGCGACCTCGCGGGCAGAGGAGGCCCGCGGGGAGACCTTGGGCAAACCAACCCCAAATGAAAAACACACAGCACGCAGAGGCCGTTGTGAGCGCGCGGCGGCGGCGGCGGGCGGTGGAAGCGGCTCCAAAGATCACATTTGAAATATGGATCCCGGGGGCGCAAATCACCAGGCCGACAGGAGCCCCGCGACCGAGCCTGTGGCGGGGGGTCGCGTGGGCTTCTCCAGGCTGGCCAGGGGAGGCTGCCCTGACGTGGGGAGGGGTTGGGCCAGCGGACGTCGTAGAACACTACTCGTCCCGCTTCTGCGCCTGCGACCCCCGCGGGCCGCAACGCGGAGGCGAGGCCCCGCGGGCGCCGGTGTGGCCCCCGGGAGTGCCCAGGACCTGCCAAGGGGCCACGACCTGGCGGCGCGCCGGGCCCGTTGCCCCGCCCGCGCACCCTGCCGGGTCCTCCCACCTGGCGCCCCAGCTTCAGCCCCGAGCAGCCCGCTGCGGAGGGACGCGGGGGCATCAGGGGTTTTGCCACCCAAATGAATGCCGACCTTTCGCGGGCGGTGTAACAAAGAGCACAAACATGGGGGTGAGGGCAGAGAGGGCGGAGGGGCGCCCTTAGGAACAAAGCCATCCCTCCGAGAAGGTGCAGGCGGTGGAGTGCAGGGCTCCCACACCGCCTCCCCGCTCTTCTCCTCCTACCCCCCACGCACAGTCCTGCCAGGTCAGCCACCGCTAAAAATGCAAAATTACAAACGCCAGTGCTGAAGTCAGAGACAAGTTCCCCAACTAAGAACGGAGGAGAGAAATGAGCCCTTGTTAAAGCCTGGGTAGATTTTGTAGTCGTTATGCTAGTAAATTCTCCCTTGGCTGTTGGAAACCCACCTCCGGGGACCTAGAAAGCCACACAAACTCGAAAGTTTTGCTAGTCTAGAACTGGCCGGGGAAGTCACAGACGGTCCCTTCCGGGCAGAACTCAGACCTGGGTCCCGTGGGCGGGAGGTGGTAACTCCTTGCAGGGAGCGACCATTCAGGGAGGAGATTTACGAAGTCGTTTATTTCCCTGCGTTGGTGTGGGTCAGGCCCCTTCAGGGACGAGGAATCTCACCACCCTCTGGCCCAGGGGCATTAGAGTCTCCGGCTTCTCCAGGGTCTGTTCTTTCGACCCTCTCCCCTCCATGAGGGAGGCTGTGGCTCAGGGAGACAGCATCGGTCCTCACTCGGGGCCCCTGGGGGCCCCTGGGGACCCCAGCCTGAGGTGGCACCCGGAAGGCTTCTGCCCCTCAGCAGAACCCAGGGGCGCAATCCGTCCCTGGCTGGAAGGGGGCAGCGTCAAATGCGCGGATCCGCGACCTTTCTCCGGGGTTCCCCGAGGGGCTCGGGATATCCCGGAGGCACGGGCCCCTGCTGAAGGCTCTGGGAATCCCGAGTTTGGGCTCCACTCGCCTTCGGTTCCCTCAGAGGGGTCAAGACGGGGTGGAATGGTAGGGGAAGCCATACGGGAGGCTTTCCAGGAGGAGCTCGCAGGACGCCTCAGGGGAGCTTCCAGGGCGCTCCCCGCTCCGCCCGCACCCCCCAGATTCTGTCTTTGCCTCCTCCATGCAGCCCATTGGTGCTTCCGCGGACCTGAGCTCCTCCCCATACCCGCTGGCAGGTGAGGGGTGGTCTAGGGCCAGGCCAAGGTGAGGCTGGGGCTCTGGGAGTCGGCCTCTCTCCATACCCGCCCACCCTCCACGAGGACAAAATAACAGTGTGAAGGGGCGAGTTGCCGCATTCTGCCGGTGCCTGCGCATTTCGGTCACTTGGCGCAGAAAGGCTAGGAGCGGGGGCGGCCGGGGACTCCCGGGGCTTCTGAGGAGCTTGGGGGCGTCCCCTCCCGCTGCCTGGGGAGCCTGGCGGCTGCTCGCACTACCAAACAAGCAGCTACAGAAAAGATCCGCTGTACTGGCCGGCGAGAGCCACCCTTCCTCTCCAGCTCGGCCACAGGCCCAGCCCGGCTCGTGCGCAAAGTCGCCGTCGGGGCACCGGGTGCCGCTGCGTGGCCCCCGAGGTCTGGAGCGCGGGCGCGGGAGGTGCGGGCGCAGAGCGAGCGGGCCTCGATGGGCGAAGTCCGATGCCCCTGACTGCGCAGAGGCTACAGCAGCCTGACCAGGATGGCGCGGAAACACCCACTAGAGACAGATTTTCCAGGGGATTTTCTAGTGAGGGGGCAGGCGAAGTGTCGGGAAGCTCAGCCCCTCCCTGGACGATGGGGTTGTCCAGGACAAGGTCGCTCATACCTCCGGACAGACTGAAAGCACCTATGGCCTGGCAGCTGGCTCTACGTGTAGGGGTGACTGCCGTTCTCGCGCCAGCCTCGGGGTCCCTTCCCTTCCGCAGTTAAGTCGTCCCACCCGAGAGCTCCTCGCCCTGGCCAAGAGTGTCAGAAAAAAAAGCCCAAAACACAGGAGAAAGAAGTTTTCCCTGTGTCCCCCCTCCCCAAAACTCCGCCTACCCCAGCTCCTATAAACCCGGAGAGCCCCCCCACCCGAGGACTACAGGCAGGCGCGGCCCCCTTTAGCCCCAGCCGCGCCCCCCCCACACCCCGACTCCTCGAGGATTCTTGGGTTTGTGCCTCGAGCTTGTCAGAGAGCAGTCACTGCAGACCGGGCCCCTCTCTCATGCCGCCAGAAGACGAGCCCCCACTCCCAGAACCGCTCGAAGGGAGGAGCCACGCTAGTCGTCTTGGGCAGCGGCCGACACCGAAACAGAAACGGCCACCGCCGCAGGAGCTGCGAGGTGGTGGTGGAATGGAGTCAACGTGTGCGTTCTTAAACACCAGACTGTCTCCAGGCTTCTCCTGGATTCCTGCGAGAACGCGAGCCCCGAGTATGCTTTGGGGGTTCGCTTCAGCACCTCGGCCCTCCCCGGCTCGTTCAAGCCCCCGCGCAGTCCCCACCCAGCATTCTGGGACGTGTGTCAGGGCGGGAGCGGAGACCCGGATGGCTCTTTGCCCGCCCCCCTCGCGCGTTCCACTCTCGCTCGGCTTTTGCTCTTTTTCTTTCTCCATGGACGCTCAGCCAAGGGATTGCGCAAGCTTCCTGCTCCCAGTCCTTCAGGGGCCAGGAGCAGGGGGCCCAGACACACCCCAGGGCAAGCGCGCCCTGCCCCTCCTGCACCCTCCCCAGGTCCCCTCACCCCTCGCCGCGACCCCAGCGAGCTCGCGGCCCCGCGGGCGGCGCCCTCGGGAGGCCGCGTGGAGCGCAGCAGCTCCCCCAGCCGGACGCTGGAGCGGCACGCCGAACGCGCCGTCTCGCCGCCGGAGGTGCTAAACTTCACACTCAGCGGCTTCTCGGGCTGCGTCAGGAGGGCCTCGGCTCGGCTGGCTGTCGGGGACCAGGGACACAAAGTCAGGACGAGTGCTTGGCTCCTCGGCCATCGCATTCGTCTCCCCTTTGTGCAGCCTCGATGTGCCCCTGGCTCATCCTGAACCTCTTCTCAGCCCTCCCCACTCCCTCCTTCGATGCCTTTCCTGGGACCTCACCAAGTCCCCCGGGTCCCCCAAGCAGATCTGGACATCCCCTGCGCCCCCTCTGTAGTCGCCCCCTCTCGTCCTCCCTGGCCGCGGGGTTGGGGCCGGCGGGGTTGCTGCTGGAAACTAGGCTTCCCGCCCCTGCCCCACCAAGGACAGTGCCGAGGGTAAACTGGGAGCCGGTCAGGTTCTGGGGTGGGATCGGACTCGGAACCCCCTTCTGGTAAGGTTCTGGAGCGCTAGGGCCCTAGACTGGCTGCTCCTCCGTCCTCTTCCTCGCCTCTTCTTCCCGCTCTCCCCGGCGATCCTCTGAACCCAGTTGTCTCCTTCTCCCTGCCCTTTCTCTTCCGTGCCTCGCCTTCCTAAATGCCCAAAGCCTCGCGGGGCGGGGCACGCAGGGTGGGGGGCGCGAGCTACCCCTGCCCCGATTCCGCCCCCTGCCGGCGGTTCCCCCTGTGTGCGCACATGACGCAATTCTGTGCAACTGGAAACTGCAGTGGATGCTTCCGTGGCCCCCAGCAGGGGTCCCCGGGCGGTGCACACCGAGAATGAGAGGCGGAGGGGCAGGCCCAGGCGCCGAGCTGCGGGCGAGGGGTCGCCGCCGAGGCCCTCCCGGCCGTGTCAAGCTCTCCGCCCGCTCTGCGCCCTCAGCCGACACACCTCTCCTGCCGGGTCCCGCTCCCTCCCTCTCCCGGGCCCGCGGGTCCCTCCCCCTGCACCTCCCCGGCGCCCTCCTCCTCCGGCCCCCTCCCGCGTCCTTCCTTCTCCCCCCCGCCGCCCAGGCCCGGGGCCTCCGGTAGGCCCGGCTGCGCCAATCCCGGCCGCGGCCCGCCCCCTGACGCCGAGCTGGGCCCGGCGAGGCCCCGCCCGCTGACGTCCGGATTTGCATGAGTTCTTGTGCAGCCGCGGCCCGGGCTCAGTTGTCTGAGCGAGCGCGAGCCGGGAGTCGGGGCGGGCGCGGGCAGCGGCGGGCGGCCGGGCTGTGCTGGGAGAGCGGCGGCGGCGGCGGCGGCGGCGCGGGCGGCGCGGGCGACAGGGGCGCCTCGGCCCGGGCGGCAGCCGGGCGCCGGCAGGAGCCAGCAGCGTCTGCAGCCGCGCCGGCCGCCCGCGCCCCGGCGCGCTCCGGCTCGGCCATGGAGCTGCCAGCTGTTGGCGAGCACGTCTTCGCGGTGGAGAGCATCGAGAAGAAGCGGATCCGCAAGGTAGGGCGGCGCGGGGGCGGCGGCGAGGCGGCGAGGGAGCGGCGGCCGGAGCAGCCCGCGAGGAGGCGGGGAGGGGGTGGGGAGGCTGCGGGCCGGAGCCGGGGATCCCGCGGAAGCTGATGGAGTGCTGTCTCTTCCCCCCCTCAGGGCAGAGTGGAGTATCTGGTGAAATGGAGAGGCTGGTCCCCCAAGTAAGTAGCGGCGGAGGGGCGGGGGCGCCGGGTGCCGAGGCGCGGGGCTCCCGGGCTCCGGACCGCCGAGCTGGTGGGGTGGTGGGGGGAGCGGACGGGAGGCGGGGTGGAGGTGGGGTGGAGGGAGGAGGGGGTGGGGAAGTCGGTGGCAGGCACTGGGGAAGCCGAGCCGCCGAGCCCGAGCCCGGCGCCCTGTGTTGTGCTCCGCTCTCCGGGAAATGCCATCACTAATTTATGCACTAAAAGGAGCCGGAGGAGCTCGAGAGACGCGGGGCCGAGCCGGGGAGGCCGGCGGAGGGAGGGAGGGCGCAGGCACTGACTGATGTGCAGCAGAAAATGGCTCCTTTCCCCTTTCCCTCCACCGAACGGCTCCATATTGCAAAACCAAAAAAAAAAAAAAAATTAAAAAGCGACGAAAATGCAATTGTGTGCCTCTTCCCTCCTAGTGGTGCGGGGAGAGGAAGAAAAAAGGCAGAAAATGTTGGGAACTGTCACTGCGACGCTTTTGGTGGGGATTTTTTTTTTTTTAATTTGAAATGCGAAGGCACCGGATGGAGACAGACGCGCAGGCACACGCACACACACACACACACGCACACACACACAGAGGCATATTTTTATATTGCTGAGTATTTGGGGGTGCTTGCCGGTGACACCGGGCTCCAGAGCTGAGAGGGGGTGTGCGGGGGGGCCCCCGCTTGGCTGACGGTGATCGGATTAGGGGTCAAATGGAGAACAGCTGAAGCCCTCGCGGAGACTCGGGGTTGGAGAGAGGAGGAGGACTGCGACTTTGCCTTTCCGCTGCTTTGCACGCAGGGTTGCTGGTGAGCAAAGTGGCTTTGGAACATGTCGCAGTAACATGCTTAAAATTCTTGACAACTGCAAAATAAACTGCTAGTTTCGTTTTCCTTACCCCTCCCCTTTCTTCCTGCCCTTGTGTGTTTATTTTGACTTGGGGGGGGTGTCGGGGACCGTGTCAGGCCTGCAGAAATCTCCCCTCCACCTCCCACATCCACAGCTAAATAGCTTTCGGTTCATGAAGACAGAGTAGGGTCTTATGTCATTCCCCACCTGGAGGCCGCAAAGCTGGCTCGGTTTTTTTTACGCCGTGTCCCCTCCCTTTTCCCTTGCAAGATATAACACGTGGGAACCCGAGGAGAACATCCTGGATCCCCGGCTGCTGATCGCCTTCCAGAACAGGTGAGCGTCCCCCAGCAGCCGCCGCCCGCAGCCGTGACCGTATATGGGAATGGGAGAGGGGGCCACGCAGCAGTAGGAAAGAGGGAAAGGGCCTGGAGGGGGCCGGCGGGAGCCCCCTCCCCCGACGGGCCTGCACAGGCACGGCTGCGGCCTCGGCTTCTCTTAACCAACGTCCTTGGCGGTTGCGGCAGCCGGGGCGGGGGGGGGGCGGGTGAGGGGGCGGGGCCGGAGAAGGCAAGGCTGGTGTTTTGGGGGGAACTGTGAGGAGGGTGAGTGCGGGTGGCCCTGCCGCTGCCCAGAGACCTCGAGGCTGCTTCTGGCCCCCCGCGGGCCCCCCTCTCAACGCAACCTTGGAGCCCCACCCCCGGAGCCTAGGTGCTGCTTTGCCGTAACCACTGGGCGCTTGGCACCAGCACCTCTCGGGACAGCTCCAAGGGAGCTGGCCTTGTGAAACCGCCGGACGTCAGGGAACTGCGTTTAACCTGTTGGGGACTGGAGAAAAGTTGATAAGGCCTTAACCACCCTGCTCCCGACCTTCGACCCCCCAGGGAGCTTGGGATCAGTAGGGGGTAGAGCCTGTCTGGTGCTGGGTGCCCTTCGCACCCCCCACTGGGTTCCTCGGTGGGTGTCGGCCCCCGTCCTTGGGGCAGGGGGAGCTTGGCCTAAAGGTTGGTTCCTCGGTGGGAGGGGAGCTGCCTGGTGGTGGAGGGGCTCATCCTTGTGCGCACAGATGTTTGTCACGCTGCAGCTGCTGCAGCTGGATCCACGGCCGGTGGCTGTGGTTCTCTGTTTCGGGGAGGACAGAAGTGGGGGAGGGCGGGCGAGGAGGGGAGGCAGGGCCAGAGTCCGAGGAGCTCGGCCACCCCGCTGCCTTCCATCCCCCCTCCCCTTTTTATTTTGCATTATTTCCTGCGCCGCGTTTGGCGCTAAAACTGTAAACTCTAGACCCTCCGAGCAGCGACCAGCGGGGAAGTTGCTCTCCCGCGACGCAGGGGGGCGCCGAGAAGGGTTCCTGCCCCGGTTCCACCTGGGAGTTCACCACCCTGTAACCATGTCAGCGGCTGATGCCATGTTGCATAATGGGTCCCCGAAGAATTAAAACGCAGGCTGTTGCAATGCCACGCAACTTTGGAGTCAGGCCCCGGCCCGGGCCGCTAGGCATGGCGGAACTCCCCTGGGTTCGCCCACGGTCAGAGGGGTGCCTGGGGTCGCTGGAGAGCGAGTTCCTGGCCCGGGAACAGGTTGCAACTTTTGCAAACGCAGGAGGGGCACCCCCTTCTCCCATGGAAGGCTGGGCAGTGCTGGACGATCTGACGCCTAGGCTCGGGTCACCCTCCGCCAGGCCGCCGGCGGAAGCCCGGCAGCTGTGGTGACCGGTGCCACCTCTGGTGGTCTTTATTAATAATTGGAAATCGAGGCGGCCCGGAGCCCAGCTCGGCGAGGAGGCGGTGCTTGTGCGCACCGCCCCGGCTTCGCTCCGCCCAGCCGCCCCGCCCAGGCGGACCCAGAGCCGGTTCACCTGGTGGTTGCGAACCTGGCCAGGCCGTGGCCTCTGCGGCCGGCCCCCGCCCCCAGCCCCTAATTGGCTCATTTGCCGCCGTGTAAACAAGGGCGCAGCCCCTCCCCCTGTTTAGTGCCTGGCCTTTAAGAAAACGAGTCCTCCCTTCTGCCGGCGGCACTCGTTATCTGAATCTTAATGAGGTCATTAGCATCCCGTGCCTCTGACGGGGAGGGATGTGTTCGGCGCACACCTCGTTTGGGCTTGTTTGCATCCCCTGGACCCCCGCGCCCACCTCACTTTGCGCAGGGCCGCGGGCCCAAGGCAGTGGGCGCCAGTGCCATCAACCTAGCGCCCAGCTGCCGCCTCCCCGGCCTAGAGGCGAGGCTGCGGGGGGCGCCAGTTCAGGTGCGGATATCAGAGATGGGGGAGCCCTTCACGGAGGACCCCTTGGGCAGAGGAGGGTCGGTGAGAGCACAGAGCGGGACTCTGGGACCGGACCGAGGCGTCCAGCTGGCGGCACCGATGACCTTCTGCCCTGAGCCCTGATCCCTCTGGGTCTTTCTGGCCTGGCTGCTCGCGGGAGGGGGGGTGGGGGTGGGGGGCAGGCGTCACTGCAGGTTGGATCGTAGCAGGAGGGGAGGTGACCCTGAGGCTAACAGCGCTGCCCTCTGTTCCCTCCCCCACCCCCACCCCTCCTCCCCCACCAGGGAACGGCAGGAGCAGCTGATGGGATATCGGAAGAGAGGACCCAAGCCCAAGCCGCTGGTGGTGCAGGTGAATATACTTGCTGGGCCCAGGCCTGTCCACTAGTCTTTCCCTTGCCATTGCCACCTGAGCTGCCTCCACGCCCAGAGGGCAGGGAGTTTCTGCAGAGCACCCAATTCCACTTCCTTTCCACTTGACCTCCAACACACTGGCCCTATAACGCCGCTGCGGACCCGCTTGGGGCTGGGACACTCCTGAGGCTAGAGACATGCTCTCGGGCCGGCCCTATTCCTCTTCTCACCTCCCCTCGCATCCCTGCCTCCTTCCCCCAGGTACCTACCTTTGCCCGGCGCTCCAACGTGCTGACTGGACTCCAGGACTCCTCTGCAGACAACCGCTCTAAGCTGGAGCTGGGCGCTCAGGGCAAGGGCCAGGGCCACCAGTACGAGCTCAACAGCAAGAAGCACCACCAGTACCAGCCGCACAGCAAGGAGCGAGCCGGCAAACCCCCACCGCCAGGCAAGAGCGGCAAGTACTACTACCAGCTCAACAGCAAGAAGCACCACCCCTACCAGCCCGACCCCAAGATGTACGACTTGCAGTACCAGGGCGGCCACAAGGAGGCGCCCAGCCCCACTTGCCCGGACCTGGGCGCCAAGAGCCACCCGCCTGACAAGTGGGCCCACGGCGCGGGGGCCAAGGGCTACCTGGGAGCTGTGAAGCCCCTGGCCGGTGCGGCCGGGGCTCCAGGCAAGGGCTCCGAGAAGGGCCCTCCCAATGGGATGACGCCGGCCCCCAAAGAGGCGGTGACGGGCAACGGGATTGGGGGCAAGATGAAGATCGTCAAGAACAAGAACAAGAACGGGCGCATCGTGATCGTCATGAGCAAATACATGGAGAATGGCATGCAGGCGGTGAAGATCAAGTCCGGCGAGGCGGCCGAGGGCGAGGCGCGCTCCCCCAGCCACAAGAAGCGGGCCGCCGAGGAGCGCCACCCCCCGGCCGACAGGACTTTCAAAAAGGCAGCAGGGGCCGAGGAGAAGAAGGCGGAGGCGCCGTCCAAGAGGAGGGAGGAGGAGGCGCCGGGAGCCGGCGACCCGCAGCCCCAGGACGCCGGCTCCCGCAAGCTGTCCCCGACCAAGGAGGCCTTCGGCGAGCAGCCCCTGCAGCTCACCACCAAGCCCGACCTGCTGGCCTGGGACCCAGCCCGGAGCTCCCACCCGCCCTCCCACCATCACCACCACCACCACCACCATCACCACCACCACCACTCGGTCGGCCTAAATCTCTCCCACGCGCGCAAGCGCTGCCTCTCCGAGACCCACGGCGAGCGCGAGCCCTGCAAAAAGCGCCTAACGGCGCGCAGCATCAGCACCCCCACCTGCCTGGGGGGTAGCCCGGCCGCCGAGCACCCCACCGACGTGCCCCCCACCGCCACCCTCCCCCAGCCCGAGGTCATCCTGCTGGACTCGGATCTGGACGAGCCCATAGACTTGCGCTGCGTCAAGACGCGCGGCGAAGCCGGGGAGCCCCCAAGCGCCCTCCAAGTGAAGCCCGAGGCGCCCGCGACGGTGGCGGCCGTGGCAGCTGCGCCGGTGACGGCGGCCGAGAAGCCTCCGGCCGAGGCCCAGGACGAGCCCGAGGAGCCGCTGAGCGAGTTCAAGCCCTTCTTTGGGAATATAATTATCACCGACGTCACCGCGAACTGCCTCACCGTCACGTTCAAGGAGTACGTGACGGTGTAGCTGGAGGGCTTCGGAAGGGGAAGCGTCATCCCCGCGGGTGACTTAGCACCTGGTGCCTACGGGCGGACTCCTCCTCTCTCGCCAGCTGCGGGAGATCCGGGGCTGCCCTGGTGCGTGGACGCCCGGGAGCCGCAGTATCCGCGTCCCTCTGCACCCCACTGTCGGCTCCTGGCTGGGACCTGCCCCCTGGCCGGCACTGGCTCCTTCCACGCGGTGCCTGCGGGTCTCGCCCCCGACCTGCCCCATCCCCGCGCTGGACCTCCCCTCCCTCGTGGACCTCCGGGACTGACAGGGCAGCCACAGCGCCTCGGTCTCAGAGTTATAGTATTATATTTTAACCGTGCTAACTTGTCAAGTGCAGACTTTACTCCCGTTTGTACGTGGTGTTATTATTGAAATGTATTGTTTGAGCTCAAAAGGCCCGACCACCCCCTTCGGGCTGATATATATATATTTATTTGTAGGTATTTATATATTGAAATATAAAAACCTAGATTTATGGAGTTTCCTCTAGATCATGTTATATTCTATATCAGACAAACTATTTTCTGTTGACCTTTCTTCCTGTTCATTCAGTATTTCGGTTGATTTCATTGCCTCCCCTTCCTGGAACTGCAATACCAGTAACGTTGGTATATATTTTTTGATACTGTACACATGGATGTGTTGTTTCTATGTGCAAAAAAAAAAAGTTTGTTTAAAGGCTAAACGAGCTCTCTAGAAACTGCTGCTACTAGAAATGTCTAAACTATAAGCTTCCAATTATTACCTGCTTGAATGTAAATATTAAATGGAGATGTTGAAGGTGCATTTTCGCTGTTTGAGATTAGCGCAGACGGAGCGTTGGAGGTTCGGGAGGCAGCTGGACCCCTCTCCCCGCCCCACTTACACCTTAGGTCTCGGGGAGGAAACCTCCCGGCGTCCTGCGCTAAATCTTTTGCAAAGGCGAAGCGGACCGGTTGCACGGGCAGAGGCGCCCGCGCCAAGGGAGTGACCCTGCTCCCCGGAAGTCGAGAGGCGCTCCCACGGAGAGAGGAATTCCTGCGGGGGGAGGGGATGTCAGCGTCGCCCCCGCCCCCAGGGCTTTCGGGCCGGCGGTGCCCTGGGCGCTGGCCGACCCGGGGATCCGCGTGGTGGGGGGAGGGGTGCAGGGGTGAACGAGCGGCGCGGAGGAGTGGGTGGGGCTAGCCCCCCTTCCCCCGCAGCCGCGCGCGCCGCACCCGCCCGGCACCTGCTGATCTTTGCCCCCCACCCACCCGATGCGCCACACACCCAGGCGCTGGCTCCGGTGGGGCAGGGGTGTTTTTAATAATCCCTGCCCGGTAAGGCAGGTTCGGCGGGGAGGGGACCCTCCCAACCCTCTCTAGCGTCGCTTGCTGGCATCGCTGGCCCCGCCCCACCGAGGAAGCCGCCGAGGCTCTTTCTCTGCCAGGCTCTCTCCCCGGAAACCACCAGGCCAGAGGCTCCGACTGGAGGCGCAGCGAGCGCGGCCAGGGCAGGGGCGGGGGGCTTCCTGCGTGGTGGATGGGGAGGAGGAGGGGGAGGATGCCTGGCGAGCAAGGCCGACTCACCCCTGTTTCCTCAGGGAGCGAGGGAAATGCGGAACCCCGTCTCACTGGTCCTGCTTTGGGTGGCGAGGCTGGGGCCCTTGGTGTTGCGGGGCAGGAAGGGGTTAAGGGCCCAGAGGGGCTGAGGGGAGTGGGCCGGGCACCAGGTCGTCGTCCCGCCCGGCCAGGAAGCCGCGACTGGGGAGGCAGCCGCCGTGGCCAGCTTTCTGCAGACGCAGCGATCCTCCTCCTGGCCGGGGCGGCCGAGCAGGGCCAGGGGCCGCGGGATTGGGGCCCTGGTGGGCGCCGGGCTGCTCCTGGCCTCCAAAGCCCCTTGCCTGCCCGCCTGGGACTGAGGGCCCAGAGCCTGTGCAGGGCGCCAGGGCGGAAGAGGTCAACGTGGTTCAGAATGGGGAGGGGGCGCTGGCGAGAGCGCGCAGCGCTGGGAAGGCCAGGGGAAGAGATAGAGGGCCAGGAGGGCGGGAGGCCTGAATGCGGACAGTGTGGCCAGTGTTGGCTGCAGGCCACCAGCGGCTGGGGGTGGGGGAGGGGATGGGGGAGGGGAGAGAGGGAAGGGAAGTTCTTAAAAAAAAAAAAAACCGTTGGGAGTTTCTAGCCCTGGCTTTTGTGAATTGTCCCTCCCACTACCCCCATCACCCCAGCCCCCTTTAGAGTGAGTTAAACACTCCCCCCTCCCCCCTCCATGTAATGAATGCCCTTTGCCACCCTGGGAGTGGAGGGAGGGGTGATCTTGACTGCTCCTGGCAAACTGCCTGCTCAGCACTAGAATTGGGCCTGTCGTTCACTGGCTGGGACACAAAGGCACATGCCAGGCAGGGATTTGGTCTCCCTGTTTTTCTGGTAGAGGAAAACTAAAAACTCAGGAGTGGGAAGGGGAGCCCTTGTTCAGGTCTGCACAGTTGGTGACTTGGGAGTGAGCCTTAGCCCCTGCGGGTGCCCCTCCTACCCAGTGGGTGGCCTCTGCCAGGCTGAGCCTGGGGTGGGGGTGGAGAGGGGAGAGGGAGAATGGCACTGTTGGCAGTGGGGAAGAAAAAAATTCAAGGGAAGGTGTGGGCTGCAGGTGGCCTGAAGCCTTGAAACCCAGTGGCAGAACTTCTGGGATAGGTCCTTGAGGAGGGCGATCCTAGGTAGAGCCTGGAGCCTGAGGTCGGAGGGCTGACAGTGGCTGACAGTGGGACAGAGGCAAATGGGTAGGTCAGGAGGAGCTGCAGGGATCCCCGACCTGGTGCGAGACCCAAGAGAGTCCAGCACCCATTCTGACCCCAGGACCCTGTCATGTGCTGAGCTCCCTCTGACATACGAGCACCACCTGAGCATCTTGTTCCGTTCAGACCCCAGAGGGCTTGAAGTTCCTTGGGGGATGAGAGTCTGAGGTTCTGAGGGCAGAACAGCTTGTCCAGGGTGGAAGGCCACCGCCTGGTTCTGTGCTGATTCTAGAGCCAAGCTGTCCGCTCCACCAGCCTGCAGAGAGGTACTCCGCGGCAACTTGAGCTCCGGGCCTCTGGGACACACATGTGTCCCAGGTTGGGAACACTCAAAGAGGGTCAGGAGCCCTGGCATGGGGACAAGAGAGGAGAGTCCAGTGGCCCCCGTTCCTCTGGGGGCGGACTGATTCTTCCTAGCCGGAGGCCTCGATGTCTGTTGGTGCCCAGTCCTTCACAAGCAAAGGGTCCTACACTCTCTCTTTGAACCCAAGTTCAGGAGAGAGAAAGCAAGCAGGAAGCTGCAGCCTTAACCCTACACACTAGGAGACCCATGCTTCATTGTGTTTTCTCCAGGTGAACCTTTCTGAGGGAGCTGAGCCTTGAGCATAGAGAGCTGGAGCTGACCCACCACAGAGTCAGGGGCTCTCTTGTACCCATGCACCCCTGGGAAGCTGGTCCCTCCCTCACCAGCCAGGGCCCAGACTCTAGCTCTGCCCTCCCTGTAACTTGTAGTCACCCCGACTCATCGTCAGGAGGTCAGCCTTGGATCCCACTGCGGGGCTCTGGAGCTAGGGTTACTAGACTGAGCACAGAAAAAACTAGGTTGCCTAGCTGATTTTGAATTTCATATGGGCAATGCATACTTTTTTAGTATGTCTCATGAAATATGTGAGATATACTAATACTAAAAAAAATGCATTGTTTATGCGAATTCGGATTTCACTGGACATCCTGGACTTTATCTGGAAACCCTATTTGGGCCCTGACTAGCCAACATGGTCAGTCCCCGTCCACAGGGAAGTTTCAGGCCCACAGGAGAGAGAAGGTGCTGAGAGCTGAGCATCATGGGTCCTGGGAGCACCGTTATCATAACGACACCGAGTATGTTGGCAGGGCACCGAGTATGTTGGCGGGACACCAGTGCTTGCCACATGTCTTGACCGAAGGTGGGGTTGAGGGGAGGCACGCATGTGCCAAACTGGACAAAGGAATGAGGGAAAGGTTGAACTGGTCCACCCTGGGCTCCGGGGTGGAGGGTCTTCCTCACTCCTGCCCACCCCAAACAGCAAACTTCTAGAACACACAAGGAGGGCAGAACTGATCTAGTTGAAGAACCCACTCCCCTCATCAAGAACCCCGCCCTTCCCATATCTCAGCTTCCTTGTCCCCTTCAGAGATGTGCTCTGAGGATCAACCGGGTCAGGAGAGAGCCTTGAGCATTTCTGGAAAACCCCCTAAGTAAACATATAGGTTATTTCTTCACCAGGGAACATTAAACATGCCTTGTCAGATCCAAATGCCTTCCAACGACTCTGGCCTGGAGCTTCAGCTTGTCGGAGGGACAGACACCCAGTGATATTTGCCTGGAAACTGACTGCCAACCCTCCCTCCCTCCCTCCCTCTTCCTGTAAGCCGGTGGGCACCTCCAAGCCTCGGCATGCTGCCCTCAATACCTGCTTGCTGGATCACCCATTGACCTGGGACCTCAGCCCCTCCAGTTTTATCCTGGGTCACCAGGAATGACACTGGAACATGAGGGAGCTGGCACGAGCCCCCATGAGCCAGACCTGCCCTTGTACAGAACCACATCCCCATGCATTCTGAAAACAAGTCTCCGTCTATGGTTCCCTGTTATGTTTGCCACTGCCGTGAGAAGGTAAGAGCTCTGAGGAGGAAAAAGTTATTCCTGGACATAGTATCCGTTTCCTGTGGCCGTAGTTCAGAAATCACTGTCGTCCGCACCCCACCCCACCCCATGCCCTTCTGCACCTCCCTCTTCCCTCTGTGGTTACTGATAACAGCTGACATTGAGTGCTCATGATGAGCAGGGACCTTTAGAGGGATGGTCTCCTTCAGTGCTCACACATCTTCTCGAGGTGGGTACTATCACTGTCCCCGTCCCACAGATGGTTAGATGAAGGCTTAGAGGCTTGAGTAAGCTGTCAGGTGCAACATCCAGGGGCTCGGAGATAGACTTACCTGTCTCCAGGGGCATCCTCCCACCTTCCAGGGCGCCGTGGGTCCTTCAGAGGACCGGCTCGAGCCCCATCCCTCCCTGA